TAGGAATGCTATCGATTTCTGGGTGTTGACTTTGTATCCAGCTGCACTGCTGAATTTGTTGATTAATTCAAGGAGTCTTCTTATGGAGTTTTTGGGGTCTTCCATGTAAAGTATCATGTCATCTGCAAATGGTGATAGTTTTACTTCTTCCTTTCCTATCCTTATTCCTTTTATTTCTCTCTCTTGTCTAATTGCTCTAGCTAGTGGTTCCAGAATTATATTGAATTTTTTTTTTTTTTTTTTTGATGCTCAGAGCTTTGGGCACACTCAACTAAGAATATACTCTTACCACTGAGGAACACCTCCAGGCCCTTGGAAAATTCTTTGACTTGGGTTTTATCGTGATTTCATGATGATCATGATGATAATGATGTGGACATATCTGATGATTATTTGGAAATATACATGGGCTCAGATAAACCTGTTATGTGTTTTTCCAACACTATAAAAAATTATCTACAGGGATGGGTGTGGTGGTGCATGTCTATAATCCAAGCACTCGACCCTGTCTCAAAAAACCAAAAACCAAACCAAAACAAAAAATCACAGGATACTTAATTGTTTATTTTGCATAGCAATCCTCTAAAGAACTAGTGCATTCTATTAGGAGTGGAAGGGCTAAAAATACCTTATGTGGAAAATTATCTATCTTTTGATTTCATTATGCTTTTGACCTTTTGTATACTCTAGTTTTATTTTATATGTAGTCCGTCAGTATAAGCGGAACATTGGTTCTAGGATCCTCACAGTCCTTGGATGCTCACGTCCTTTATATACAATGGTGTAATATTTGTGTATAATCTATGTGATCTTCTCATATACTTACATTTTTTTTTGCCTAAAATTTTTTTGATACAGAGTCTCAAACCTTCTGATCTCAAGTAGTCCTCCTGCCTTAGCCTTTCAGTGCTGGTATTACAGATACTTGCCAGCATACCCTGCTTTTTCCAAATATTTTTGATCTCCAGTTGCTTGAATCCATATACCTGGAACCTGCAGATATGGAGGGCTGACTGTATTGTGTATACTTTATTGAGATAAGATATCAGAAAGACAGTTGAATGAACTTTGACTTGTTTCAAAGACCTGTTTGGTAAAAGTTGCTCAAATAGAATCAATCTTGCTAATTGGCTTCAGCCTTCCACTGTTTTATTATAGTCTACCTACTCCATCCTCAACCTTTTAATGTGTTTTTCTGGTCCGATTTAGATGTGAATCTATTGGGAACATTTTTTAGATAATTACTTCTGTCTTCCAGTGCGTAATATGTTGTTAACACTCAGTGAACAGAAATTCATTTATTAATTGCATTAAGGTGTTTAAATAGAGAGAAATAGCTTTTTGGTAACCATGGTAACCAAGACAAACCGGATCTTAGGCAAATAGATTTTCAGTCAAAAGGGTTTAGCTACAAAGGCTAACAAAAGGTAACAGGATATAATGAGAATAAAAGTGTACTATATGCAGGTGCCTGGTAAAGTAGATGTTTTGGGGTGGGATTGGTTGGGCATGTTGTGTTTAGTTATGCATCTTTCATTTGCAATAGTGTGAAAGACACCAGATACTTAGATTCTTGTAACATTTATACTATGTGCGTTTGGTTGGGAGGACTGACTTGTGCCCTCTTTTGGGAGATATTCCTTCTACGGATGGGTTTGTTCAATGCCAGATAATTCTGTCCTCTAGTCACTAAAGTTTAGTTCCTAACTGTGACTGGCTGGGTTTCCTCACCAGAAATAAGAAGAAAATTCTTTTATGATTAAGATGATATTGTCTGTGTTTGTCACCCTACTACCCAGCAAGTTGCTATCCCAAACTACAAAGCTTTATCTCCTGATGAGCCCAGTCTGTGGGATTAAGTTTGCTTTTGTCTCTGACCTAGTTCTGTCCAGGACAGGAAAGAGTAGCGACACTGTGGGATACGGAAGTAGTTGGCCATCAAATTTGAGATTTAACATACTTTACGTTCCTGTTTATCTTTGGAATTGTGTCATTTCTCTTTGAAAAATTGTGTTAAGAACACTTAATACGAGATCTTTTCTTTTAATAATCTTTTTTATGGTTCTAGGAATCGAACCCAGGGCCTCAAGCATGCTAAACAAGTGCTCTACTTTAGAGCTATATACTTGCAGCCTGTTTAACAAAATTTTAAGTGAATAATGTTTTGTTGTTATTTATAAACACAATGTTATTCAGCAGATCTTTAGAGCTTAGTCATCTCGCTTGACCGAAATTTTATGCCTATTTATTAGTATCTCTCCATTTCCCGCCCCCTCAATACTTCAAAACCGCGTGACAAATTCAGCAGATACATTCCAGGCCCTTTTGTATGATGAGCAAAGAATTACAAGTGCACAGTCCAAATGGCAAGTGAAAAGCAGCTACATTTATTGACGATCATTGGAAATTGTGCTCGGGGCACGTCCATGCTGACGAAAATATGGCATGAACAGAAAAGTGGTCCCGGAATGGCAGAAAAGCAGAAAACCATGGCGCACAGATAAATCAAGCTTTCGGAATTGAAAGGACATGCACTTTAGCCCAGGTGCCTCCCCGAGTCTCTAGGTATGATAGGAATGATTGATAGGGTGCATGTCATCTCAGAGGATTTCAATCCCAGTGCCACTTCCAGAATTCACTCTGATCTGAAACACATTTATGAGATGTAGTATTACATATTCATGAACCCTTAATAAGGTTTTAGGGTGAAAGTGACTGAATGTCATGCCAGGAGCTCCAATACCCATATGCTGTGCCTGGATGCCAAAGATTTCCTGGGTTGCTATTCTCTACCTCTCTTAGGACAGTGCAAGGAGGCACGGCCCTCGGGTGTTGTTTGAATTTAAAAGTGTGGAAAGGAGTGATTTCCTCTGCTCTGTTGTTTTACCTGCACTATTTCTACTCTTTGAGTTCCTGCATTTGATTTAGATATCTCACTTAAGTGGAATCATGCAGATTTATCTTCCTGTAGTTGGTTTATCTCACTTCGCATAATGTTCTCAAGTTTCATCCACGTCAGCACATACTATATTGCAGAATTTGCTCCACAGTTAGGCTGAAAAGCATTCCACTGTATGTGTAGACCATATTTTCTTTTTCCCTTTTTCTATTTTGAGGTGGGGTCTGGCTCTGTTGACCAGGCTGGCCTCAAACTCCTGAGCTCAAGTGATCCTCCTGCCTCAGACTGACAAATAGCTTGGACCACAGGTGTGCCCCCCACCTGGCTTTTATGCCACACTTTATGCCACAACATCTGTGGATGGTTGTTTCCATACCTTGGCTATTGTCAATAGTGCTGCAGTTAAAGTAAGAGTACTACTATCTCTTCAAGTTCCCATTTTCAGTTCTTTTGGCTCTATACCCAACAGTGCGATTGCGGGATCATATGGTATATGTATTTTTAACCTTTTTTAAGGCAGAGTCTCAGTATGTTCCCCAAGCGGTCTCAATCTCTTGGGCTCAAGCGATCCTTTCCCCTCAACCTTTCTAGGAGCTGGGATTGCAGGCGTTCCCCACCATGCCTGGCTAGTGTAAATTTTTATTTATTTATTTATTTATTTATTTATTTTTGGTCCAGAAATCGAACTCACGAGCTTGCGCTTGCCAGGCAGGCGCTTGTGCCGCTGAGCTATACCCCTGGCCCTAGTGTAAATTTTTTGAGGAACCTCTCTACAGTGTTGCACAGCAGCTTCATCATTTTGCATTCTCATCAATAGTGTGAAAGGGCTCCAGTTTTTCCACAGTCCTACTATCGCCTGCCTTTTGCTTTCAGACAGCAGCCATCATCATGATATGGGAGAAATATAACTCCCAACCTGCCAGATGTCTGACTGCCGATTTCATGGCCCTGAAATGAAAGAACGAATTCCCAAGGCAAAGAGGTTAAGAGTAGGAAAGGTTTTTTGGGGAATAGGAATAGCTCCTGAGAGACAGGAGGGGTCTTTTAAATTTTTTTTTAGTCTTTTTGAGACAGGGTCTCTCTATGCATTTTAGGCTGGCCTTGAGCTCACTTTGTAACCTAGGCTGGTCTTGAACTTGAAGGATCCTCCTGTATCAGCCTCCCGCGTGCTGGGATTATAGGCATGTGCCATCATGTCCGGCTCAGGAGGGGTCTTGAGTGGGTTCCCACCAAGGCCCTTGTCAGGGGTAATTTATGCAAGCAAAGCCACAATGTAGGTACAACGTGGGTCAAACTATAATCAACCTGTAAGCCAGGCATGGCGGCACAAGTCTGTAATCCCTGAATTTGGGAGGCTGAGACAGGAGGATTGCTGTGAGTTTGAGGCCAGTCTGGGTTACATAAGTGAGTTCAAGGTCAGCTTGCAGTACATAGAGAGACCTTGTCTCAATAAAACAAAACAAAACAAAACAAAACAGCATAATCAACCTTTAGGATTACAGGAATAACTACTTAGCTAATACTGATCCAATAGGAAAGTGGGGCATGTAATAAGGATATATGATTGGTATCATTACCTTTGGCTTATCTATAACTTCTAAAATAGGAACATTTTGGGGGTGAGATGGGTCCAGATGTCCTGATCACCCACCAGCAGCTGATGCATATCTGGACTTAATGGAGTGGGCGGTAGTAGTTGAAGTATAGCCCCAAGTTCCGCTTATCCCTTAGAGAAGTATGCAAGTCTGGCTGTTGTGACTTTATCTTGGGATCTTGTCTTCAGATGTGCCTCTAGCTACATTTCTGATGTCTTTATTTTTCTGCTGACTTCCTTGAAAGCTTAGTCACTATATGACTGTAAATTTTTATCTAGCTTAGCTGCCTATAATATTCACAGATGGGAGGTATATGTCATTGTAGTTTTGATTTGAATTTCCATGATGATTAGTAATGTTGGTCACTTGTATACCATTTTTGGAGGAATATATGGTACTTTTTAATATTTTATATCTCTGTTGCAACTGTTACTTATTTCATGCATTGTTTTTTTAAAATAACATGACAGTTATTTTAAGTTATCTGTCAGGTAAGTCTGATAGCTCTTTCATTGGGATCAGTTTCTGGAGATTTGTCCCATTCCTTCATTTGGAACACCCTCTCTTGGTCCTTCATTTCCTTGACTCGCCTCACTGTTATCGGGTAGCTTCTTCTAAAAGTGGCTCACCAACTAAACACTGCCAGGTTCTGGGTTGCTCACCTCTCCCCTTGGAGTTAGATTCCAGATTCTTCTCATCTCAAACAAAGCATTGAACAAAATGAGCAAAAAGCGGTGGCCAAGTTTATTCAAGAATGTAAAAGTGAAGAGTGAGGGTGAAACTGGCTCTGCAGAGCAAGCTTGGGCCAAGGAAAAGGAGAAAACGCAGTGAAAGAACACCGTGGAGAAAGCAGCGTGGGCTGCTGTGAAGAAAGTCAGGATGCCAAGCTCTTCTTGGCATCTGTGCAAAGTCTACTGTCCAAATCTCAAGGAAACCTGTGAGAACTTCTACATACAGGTCCTGAGAGGTGGTGCTGGAATCCTACGCATCAAGCTGACGTCAAGTCTAGGCCATCCTATTGAAACCCTGCTTGAGTTCTCACAAGAAATCCACATGCAGGGCTTTGGGAACTGTTCTGCTCATGTACTGTGGGATCCTGTGATTCACAAGACATGCCTACTGCCCCAGCCAGCTTTGCCGTGATCTAATCTCCTATCTCATCCCCAGAAATTCTGGGGCTCTCTATCAACCCTTTTCCTCCCCAGGCAGAAGCAGACAGCTGTGGATTTTGTCTGCTTTCTTTGTGCTGAACCTGAGGGTTTCAACTGTGGCATGTATTAGCTCATGGTGTGAGAGGCTTGATTGTGCTGGGGTCATCATTCAAAACAGAAAGACAGATGCCTTGGGTGGAAGTTGGGAGGCTGGATGTATGGATGGATCAGCTGTTTCACTTTCCAGGGGGAAGCGGAGTGCTAGGAATTTTCATCTGCAGAGCTATAACGTTTTTGCTTGTCATGATTTCCGTAAGGGTAATCATGCCCTGCATCCTTCCTTAATTGTCCTCTGTGATCAGGACACACTGCTCAGAATTGCAACACATTGCTGTGAAGAAGTCCCTTGGCACTATGGTGCATGCAGTGTTCTGACTTGTGCATTATGATTTGCTGTTTGAATTGTTTTGTACTACACCCAGGTGGTCATTTGAGACTTCCTAGAATATTGTACAGGAAAAATGAGTATCTTCGTGACCACAGATAGAAACTATGATTGGCAGTGTGATTTGCCTGTGACTGAACCCATTGAACCTATTTGCCCAAGTGTACCGTGCTCTTTTGACACTTAGGTTTTGGCTGCTGTCATTCAAACCAGATTCTGCAGTTACGTAATTCCTCTTAGCTCATAATCAGAGCTGTAGTGTAGCACTCTGAATGGTCTTGCTGCAGTTCTTTCTGCTCTTTTTCAGCTGTCTCAGAATTTCGGCCTGTCGTTTGTTCCACATCCCTCCCCATATAATCGGTGTGAAATACAGAATTTCAAATCAGAAAGCCTGAATGTAAGCCCTAGCTTGCTACTTGCTATTCCTCTTTAGGAATTCACTTCATTTTAAATTTAATTTTCTACTTTTTTTTTTTTTTTTTTTTTTACTGTTTTTCAGTGCTGAAGATTGAACACAGGGCTATATGCATGCTTCTAAATCTTATAAAATTAAAATATCTCTTGCAGAGTAGATAGAGGATTAAGCGTGAATGCATATGAAAAAGCTTTGAGTCTGTAAAGCAATATGCAAACATGAATTTTATTTTCATTTTCCTCATTCTTCTCTCACTAAAGAAGTTGCATATAATCACCGTGACTTGGAGTAGCATCTTAAATGACCCTGGCAGGTCTTTGCGCAGCTTTGACTTTTGAATGACTGGGTGAGCTGACGGAGGTCACAGGGAGAGACTTGGCAGGGCTGTTGATAGATTTTTCCACTTTGTAACAGAAGCTCCCTTCCTCAAAGACAGGGAAAATGTTTATATTCTTTATACTGTACCTAAAATGTTTCTGTCTCATTAGCATGAATTGATGCTAATTAACATGGCTGCTGCAATAGAGCCACTCCCTTGTTTTAACTAGGATAAATCTTCTTTAAATTGAATGGGTTTAAATTATGATCTAAATCATAATTCATTTCAGCAGCCAGGAAGGTAATTTTTCACTTTTGCCCAAAATGTACAATTTTGCTTATATAACCTTAAGGCAGCATGTTGTCTTCACATCTCAGGAGTTGACTGCATATATAGAAGCTTTTTTGGGCTGAATTTCCAGAAGCAAAGCTCTCCTTAGTGTAACTCTCATTCAGCTATGTGATCTCTACTACCTATACTCATCTTTGCTGACTGCATTTTATCCTAAAGGACTTGGAGTGCTGTCATGGCCTCAGCTTATGTCAGTCAAGTTGCTCAGCTGAATGACACTGAAAATATGTTTTGGAAGGACCAGAAATATTTTGACAAATGTGAGTTGTATTAAACATTAACCACCTAAGAGAACTTTCACAAATTAAAATTATTGTCCTCATAATCTTATGTACTCTGTAACTAGAAACTGTAACTGTGTTTTAGTTTATTTTTTGTGTGTGTGTGTTTTTGAGACAGGGTCTGGCTATGCAGTGCAGGCTGGCCTTGAGCTCACTTTGTAGCTCAGTGGTGGAGCCTAACGTGCTGGAGGTCTTAGGGCAGATCTCCAGTACCACGAAAAGAAAAATATCTCTTTTAAAATAAAATAGTATTTGAACTTTTACAGACATTATTTAACAACCTTCCTTGATCTCATTTGGTGTGATGGTGCATGCCCATAATTCTGGGTACCCCTAGCTCAGCGCAAAGACCCCGGAATCAATCCTCAGTACCATTAAAAAACCAAACCAAACCATAAAACTTTCCTGACTTCCCCTCCCCCGCCCTCCCCCGTCTGCGTGGTGTGTGTGTGTGTGGGGTTGTGTGTGTGATGTCTGTATGTGTGTGTGTGTTTAGCCCAGGGTCTTATGCTAGGCAGGTGCTCAAAGACAGAGCTACACCCCAAGATCGTTCTTATTTAAGTCATCACTAAGTTACCCAGGCTGCCCTCAAATTTGGCATTCTCTTGCCTCAGCTTTCCCAGTAGCTAGGATTTCAAGCAAGAACTATAATATATACCTCTCAACACAACATAAAAGGCCCTGATCTTGGAAGAGCCTTTTCTTCTGTTTGGTGGGAACTGAAGCCACAGCCGCCACCTCCTGCAGTTAGAAACGGTGCAGCAGAGAGGTCACTCCCTTTCCTCCATTTAATTCAAAACAGCACCCTATGACTATTCCTGCTTCCATTGTGCTAGGAGGGGTGGAAAGTAAAATAACAAAAGTTTAGGAGTTTGCTGATGCCCTAGGCTTGAGCACATGGACACTGAATCTCCTATCCTGATCTTCTGGTCACGTTTACCTTATTTCCACCTCATTACAGCCTCATAAATGTGCACTGTATCTCATAAACAGAATTCAGATCAGTCAATTCTAGGGTGAGCATGCATGCCAAGAGCCCTTAAGATGGCTCAACACCCTGTCAGTCATTCCTGTCAATCACACCTACAGATTCAGTGGGAGACACCTAACGTACACATGTGTGGCCTTTAAATTCTGAAAGCTTATGTTATCAGCACTCCGTTTTCTGTTACTGTTGCTACTTTTGACCTGTATGCAGTGCTTTTCTGTCATCCTGGCATTTTTATTGGTCTGTGTTATGCCTTTGTTGGCATAGACTGGCCCTGAGCACAAGTTCCCATGACCTTCAATAAATTTAGCTGCTTACTACTTTCTACTTGGCATACGCTTGGCAATTCTTTCCTCGTTGTACACTAGAACCTGGATTGTTTCGGGCTATTCCACTTCTACCCAAGATAATTTATATGAATCTTTCCATTAAATAATTTATAGGAAAAAGTAAGATAGGAGTTTTCATATGTCTTTTTTACTGAAGGGTTCAAAGTGTGTGTGATATTTCTGGATGTGGCAGCCCATATCTGCAATCCCAGATACTCCGGAGGCTAATAAAGGAAGATTGCAAGTTTGAAGCCAGCCTGGACTACATAGTGACATGCTGTCCCAAAATAAACTTTACAAATGGTTTGGGCACCTAGCTCAGTTGTAGAACGCCTGCCTGGTGTGTGTGAGGCCCTGGGTTCAATTCCTCGCAGTGCCAAAAAAATGGTATGTTTTTCTTAATATCTCCGCTTGTTTAGCATTCCCTGAAAGTTTCATGTGCTCTAAAAACCATTTGAACATAATTTGCTGTGTGAAGTCTACTTGAATCTGTTTTCTGACATTTAACTAAAAAATTTTAATAGCTGATTTATTGTTTCTTAAAAATCATTGTTTTTGAAAATTTTGTAGCTGTCTGCTTTTTTAAAAAATCTGTTCACTGGGGCTAGCACTGTATCTCTGTGCTATAGTGCTTGCCTAGCGTAGATGGAGCCCTAGGTTCCATACCCGGCACCAAAGAAAATCTGTTTGTTTTAGCAGCTTAAAAATCTTTTGGAAGATGCTCTCATAGTATTGCTATGAATTTTAACATCCTCTTAGTTTGATGTGCAGAAATGTTGTAAGAAATTAGTGGCATGTAGCTTATGGATATTTCTGTTACATGAGTTTGGAAGAAACCCTCAATTTTGACAATATGAAGGGGCCTCAGTTGTGATTGTACATCATGCTTGGGTTGTGAGAAATTCTATGGCCTGATAAGATTCAGTTATATGGAGGATCTGGACTTCAGATGGTTTAGAAAACAGTGACATCGTTTGTACAGATTCAATAACTGATTAATGTTGTCTGTAATTGGGCATGTCTTTTTTTTCTCACAAAATAAGGTCAGGACTTCAGAACCAGCATAAATTAAGTCTAATGCTTGAAAATATTAGTAAATATTTGAGTTTTACAGAGCACATGTTCACAACTCCCTTCAGAATTTCTACATTTTTTGGTTTTAAAGACACTGCGCTTTGTAGTTTTAAGATTACCTATAACAACACTATTGTTGGTAAAGGGCAATACATTTTGCTTTCTGAGAATGAGTAATGATGATTAAATTACAAACAAGTGACTTCCAGGGAATACAAATTTTGTGGAAAACTGTACCATACCATAGCTAAAAGAAATTTTTCTTCAGTTTTTACCCTGAGGATTATTTCAAGTTCCTTCATGTTATAGTAATTTGGCCAAAGATCTAGGAACAAGTTTCCAAATGATTTGCTATTTTTAATCAATGGTGGTAGTTCATAGCACATTTATCATTCACTTTTAGTTCAGAAATTGTTGAAAACCTCATCATAATAGATGATTCACATAACATACCTGTGGCAATTGATAGACTATTCAGGGAAATAGCAAATATCAGTTGAGAATTTATGCATGGAATATGGGATGCTCAGGTTGGTATAAAGATAATTTTGCTGGCTGGGCGTAGTGGCACATGCCTGCAATCCCAGCACTGCAGAGGCTGGGGCAGGAGGATCGCTGTGAGTTTGAGGCCAGTCTGGGCTACAAAGTGAGTTCAAGGCTAGCCTGAACTGCATAGTGAAACCTTGTCTCAAAAAGACCAATAAATAAATAAATAATTTTGTTTATGGTATTTTTGGTGGTGGGGTTGAACTATGATAAGCTTTGATGATTTGTTATTTTAACTAATGTATAAATAAAAAAATACTTTTGTGTTTAACCATTTCTCAACATATATAAGTATTTTTTGGATTTTTTTTTTAAAGAGCAGAAAGCACTAAAAACAATGACACAAAATTTCAAATCAAGATAGAACAATGGTTAGTACGTTGCTTATATTTATCTTCAAAGTAGTTGGTCAGATTATAAGATATAGGCATGAAAAGTTGATCAAGTAATACAAGCACAAACTTTTCAAGGAACTAATAGAAATTAGTAGTATAGCTATCTCAACCATCTTGTATACATATACTTTTCCTTTACAAAAGTATATATTCCTGTATACTTCTTTCCTCCTTTCCCCATCTCAGTTTCTCTTTCCTTTTGAACAGTTTCTTCTCATTTCCCGATATCTATTGTCTCCCTAGTGTAAGAAGCTGAAACAATAAATAAGAGCCAAAATGGATTTTTTTTTTAAGGTAAAGTCTTGCTGTGTTGCCAAGGGAGGACTTGAACTCAGGATCCTCCTGCCTCAGCCTCCAGAGTAGCTGGATTACAAGAGTGTGCTGACACCCTCAGCTCTATTTTTTTATTTTAAAGCTTAATGGCATATTGAACAAAGAAAAGAGGTTTAGAAACCAAGGGAAAAATTTGTGCTCAATTTTTTTTTGTTTTTTTTTGTTTTGGTTTTTCTCTGGTACCGGGAACTGAACTCACGACCTTGTGCTTGCCAGGCAGGCGCTTTGCCGCTGAGCTAAATCCCCAGCCCCTGTGCTCAATTTAATATTTATTATTTAACCCCTTTAGGCTTTAGTTATCTGTTAAAGATTAATATGTAAGAATTCTCACCTCCCACTGTTATGCATAGAAAACAAAAATAACATATATACGGTCCTAGGCACATCACAGTCACAATTAATAGTCCTCTTTCCCTTCCCTTTGTAGCAAAGTAGGAAAGTACTTAGTAGTGGGGAACCCAGGTGAATATAGGCCTTGAAAGGTAGATTTCAGAGGGAAGCGTAATTTTTCTAATATTTAAAGGAAAGTCTTTCAACTTGGAAATTGTCTTAATTCTTTAACACACTTTTGGGAACATTTACTTGGCAAATACTTCCATTTTTTGTGACTACTCGGAGAGAAAGATAAAAAGAAAATTTACTGCCCATCTCTTTCCCTCTTAAAAAATGGAATAGTTTTGTTAAGACATTGTGACTATTAATCCTGATATGTCAGTTTCACTGGGTTAACAAATACCTAGCAGGTTAGTAAAGTACCCTCCTGGACGTGTCTGCATGGTCTTGGGTATTATATATGGCGCCTCCCCACTCATTTGTCTCTGGCATAGTTCTCCTGATTTTCTCCAGCTGTCATGAGCTGAGCAGCTTTGCTCTACCATACTTTTCTATCATGACGTTCCTGTTGTACTCAACCCCCAAACCATGAGTTAAATCACACCTTTCTTCCTTGAAGTTGTGAGTGCTGAGTATTGTAGCCAGCAATGAGAAAGCTGACTAATTTAGACACAATTTACACACCATACAATTTCAAATTCACAATTCAAAGGTTTTCAGTATTTCGCAGTGTACCTCCTCGCCACAGCTAATTTTAGAACATTTTCATCACCTCCAAAACAAACCACACTCCCATTTAGAGATACTCTTGATTTCCTCTCTTCCCTTCCTCTCCCAGCCCTAGACAGCCACTAATCTATTTTTGGTCCCTATGAATTTTCCTATTCTGGACATTTTATATAAATGGAATCATAAAATGTGTGATCTTTTGTGACTTCTTTCGTATCATGTTTTCAAGTTTTATCCATGTTGTAGCATGTATCTATATATCATGCTTTGTAATGACTGAATAATATTCCAGTCTCCGAATATACATTTAAGCATTTAACCATTGATGAACATTTTGATTGTTTTCACTTTTGGTTACTATGACTGATGATGCTATGAATGTTCATGTGTAGTTTTTTTTCCAGTACTGCTCACTTTTTCTGTGATATGGAGGATGGAACCTGGGGGCTTTACACTGATTTGTATCCCCAGCCCTTTATTTTGTTTTTTAAAATTTTTATTTGGAGAGAGGGTCACACTAATTTGTTAAATTGCCCAGGCTGGGCTTGAACTTTTAATCTCCTGCCTCAGCCTCCCAGAGTTCCACAATTACAGACTTGAGCCACCATGCCCGGCTGTCCTGGGCATTGAGCCAAGAGCCTTGCACATGCTGGACAAATACTCTACCACTGAGCTATATCCCCAGTCCTTTTTATTTTTTATTTTGAGATAGGGTCTCAGTAAGTTGACCATTTTCAGTCCTTCTGCCTCAGCCTCCCAAATTGCTGGGATTACAGATTAGTACCACTGTATCTAGCCCATGTACAGGTTTTTAATTTTTGTTTCCCTTAGGAATATAAACCTAAGAATAAAATTGCTGAATTATATGGTAACTGCTTGATGAATCGTGGTGTAACTCTGTTTAAACTTTTATAGAACTGGCAGATTGTTTTCCAAAGTGGATGTATCACTTTACTGCCCACTGGCAGTACGTGATGGATCCAGTTTTTTCACAACTTTGTCTAGGTTGTCTAGGGTTGGGAGAGGAAGGGAAGAGAGTTGTGACCAGTACTGGAAAAATACCAACATTTTTTACTATTTGTCTTTTTGATTATAGTTATCCTAGGAAATGTGAAGTAGTATCTCACTGTCTTGAGTATTTTTAATGTTAACTTTTGTTTTTGAGTGTTGGGAATTGAACCCATGGTCTTGCACATACTAGGTAAATGTTCTACCATGCAGCCAGGTATCACCCCTGTTTTTTAAAAAAATTCTGATAAAACATACCTAGCATAAAATTTACCATCTTAACCATTTTAAGTGGAAAGTTCAGTAGTGTAAGTATGTTCATATTCTTGCATTGTTGGGCAGCCATTCTCCAGAACTCTTTTCATCTTGTAAAATGGAAGCTGTATACTGTTAAACAACTTCTCTTCTCCCACCATGTGCCCTGGAAATTAACATTCTCCTTTTTATAAGTCTGATCACTATTGGTGCCTCATAGATGGAATCATGTAGTATTTGTATTTTTGTCACTGGCTTATTTCATTTAACATAATGTTCTCAAGTTTCACCTGTGTTATTGCACATGCCAAAACTCCCTACCTGTTGAATGCTGAATTATATTCTACTGTTCTGCTGTACCATGTTTTGTTTATCCATTCATCTGTCAATGGACATTTGCTCCCATCTTTTGACTGATGTGCATAATGCTGCTATGATTTTGGATGTGTAAATATCTGTTCAATTCTCTTGTCACTTCTTATAGATATACACTCAGAAGTGGAATTGCTGGTAATCATGTGGTAATTTTATTTTTAAGTTTTTGAAGAATTACCATATTCCATAATGGCCATACTATTTTACAGTCCTATCAGCGGTGTGCAAGGCTACCAGTTTCTCCATGTCCTCACCAACACTTGCTATTTTAAGTGTTTTGATAGTAGAAACCTCAGTGGGTATAAGGTTGTATTTGAGTGAGGTTTTTGATTTGTGTTTCCATGATGGCTAATGCTGTTCAGCATTTTTTCATGTGCTTGTAGATCATTATATATCTTGATTATAGAGATTTCTGTTAAGATCACTTGACAATTTTTAAGTTGGATTATTTTTCTTTTTATTACAAGTAGTAGAATCTTTATGTATTGTATATACTTACCCCTTATGAGAAACATTGCAAATATTTTCTTCCATTCTGTGGGCTGAGTTGTCTTTCTACTTTCTTGATGGTATCTTTTAAAGAAAAAAATTTGAGTTTTGATGAAATTTAATTTCCTTTTTTTTCTGTCATTCATTGTGCTTTTAGTTATATATCTAAGAATGCTTTTCCTATCCCAGGGTTATGAAGATTTACCCCTATATTTTCTTTTGCCAGATATTCTACAGAGGACTAAAGTCTAGAATACATAAAGAGCTAAAAAATTAGACTCCCCCCAACATAAAAGACCCAGTCATAAAATGGCATATGAAATGAATAGACACCTCACAGAATAAATACAAATAGCACATGAAGTGCTCAGCATTGTTGGACATTAGAGATATGCAAATTAAGCAACACTGGAATTCCACCTTACCCCAGAAAGAAATGCTAGCATCAAAAAATCAAATAATAGCAAATACTGGCAAGGCTACAGGGAAAAACGAAACTTCTACATTGTTGATGTAAATGGAAACTCATACAACGACTATGAAAATTAGAATGGAGATTCCTCAGAAAGGGAAAAGTAGAAATGTCATTTGACTCAACTATTCCCCTTCTGGTAATCTTCCAAAAAGGTTAAAGACATCATATTATAGTGATATATGCATACCTATATTTGTAGCAGGACAATTCATAATAGTTAAATCTTGGAAGCAGCTTATATATCAATCAATATATGAATGGATAAAGAAAATGTGGTATTTATACACAATGCAGTAGTACTGTGCCATATAGAAAGATAAATTTGAGTCATTTGTAGAAAAAAGGATGCACCTTGAGAGCATAATGTTGAATGAAATTAATGGCACTCAAGATTAAATATTGTATGATTTCTTTTGTATGAGAAACCCAAATTATAAATAAAGAGCAAAATAAAATATTGGCAATAGAAAATAGGGAGATAGATCTTAATAGGGTAGCAGAATCTTAACAGAGTAGTGGATCGAGAGATGGAGAGAAAGGAGAAAGAAGGCAGATAAAGGGCATGAAAAAGGAATTAAGAGTATTATGTACATGTATCAACTTCACACAAAGAAGATAAACATGCACTGCAAATATGTACCAATAAAAAATAAAGTACTGTAAGTAATTTTCTTTAAAAAAGAGCTTTATCCCTTTATTTCTTACATTTCAGTCAATGATCTACTTTGAATTTATTTTTGTGCATGGTATATAAAAAGGGTTTAACTTCATTCTTTTGCATATGGATATCCCGTTGTCCTAGCACCATTTGTTAAAGACTTTTCTCCATTTGTCTTAGCAACCTTGACCTGAGATATGAGGGTTTATTTTCAGACTCTTCTATTGCATTGATCCATATGTCTATCTTTATGCCACTACCACATTGTTTGATTACTGTAGCTTTGTAGTATGTTTTAAAATTGGAAAACATGAGCCCCCAATTTCATCCTTGTTTTACAAGACTGTTTTGAGTATTTTTGGTACTTTGCATTCCATATGAATTGTAGAATCAGCTAATCAACCTGTGCAATGAAGTCAGATGGAATTTTGATCAGGACTACTGTTGAATCTGCAGGTCAGTTCAGGAGTACTGGTTTCTTAACAGTAGTAAGTCTTCTGATTCCTGAAAGTGGTGTCTTTTCCATACGTTGTCTTCTTTAATTTTTAATTTTAAAGTATAAGTTTTGCACTTATTTTGATAGGTTTATTCCTGATTATTCTTTGTGTTGCTTTTGTAAATGTAATTATTTTCTTAATTTAATTTTCACATTATAACTTGAAAGTGTAGAGAAATACAATAGATTTTTGTATATTGGTTTTGTACTCCATAACATTGCTGAACTTAGTAGTTCTAATGTCTTAGCAGATTCCTTAATAAGTTTCCTTAAATTATAGTCTTTTCTCTTTGTGTTTACCTGTTAATGAAAAGATAGTTTAAGATTTAGTGCCAAGAGTCTGGTCTAATTTTATAAGAAGACTTACTTGATTTTGGAAATGTCTTAAATTTGTTTTCTTTCTAGAAAGCCTAATCTCCATACTATTTACTTGTGTTTGTTGCATATATTTGGTGTTTATTATTACAGATTTATATAAACCTACTACAAAACCTGCAACATCTTGGCTGCTTAATACTCATCCATTGAACAAATTATGCATTTTTGTGACTATGAAATATTTATAATAATAATCTGCCCTACCCTTTCTAATACAATATGGAAAAGTACAAAATTGTTTAAAATAATTAAGTAATATACTTTACAAAATGTTTTTAAAATGGAGAAAAATATCACCTATAATCACATCAATATAGCTGCTATCATTTTAATGTATTTTCTTTAATAACTTTCATATTTAAAATTTATATAGCTATAATTATAGTGTAAGGTAATATTTTTGTCATCATAATTTCTTCTTTTTCCTAAACATTGTGTTTAAAATTTAAAAAAAAAAAATCAGACTCATATGTGTAAGCATCATGCTGAAAGAGTAAATAAGATATTATATTTGTTTTTCTTTGTTTTTTTTTTTTTTTCTGGTACCAGGAATCGAACTCACAACCTCACGCTTGCCAGGCAGGTGCTGTGCCGCTGAGCTAAATCCCCAGCCCCAAGGTATTATAAATGTATATTAATTCTGGAAATAATGTTATGTTAGCCTTCCAAAGTTTTTCTTCCTTTTCAAAATTGTTTTAATTATTTCAAGTCTTCTGAATTTTTGTATCAATTTTAGAAAATCCTGCCAATTAAAAAAACTGTAATTGTCATTAGAATTAGATTATGAGATCAGTTTTTGGAAAATTGTTGTCTTAAAGTGTACAACCTTAAAATGTTTCTTGAAATCTTCAATTTTTCTGTAATGTTTTCTAGTTTCCTGTATATAGGTCTTGTAAATTTTTTAGTGAGATTTATCACTATTTTATATTTTAGTACTCTTGTAAATGATGTGTTTTATTTTTGTTTGTCACTACAAAGTGGACATATAGTTGCTTTTCAATGAACACTTATTAAAATTTAAAAAATTTTTTCAAGAGAAAAATTGAGGAACTTGGCATGTAGTTCAGTGGTAAAGCACTTGCCTAGCATACATGAGCTTGTGGGTTCCATACCCAGTACCACAAAAAATAAAAGTTGAAAAATTTTAAAATTGACATCTGTGTGACAACCAGTTAAATTCTACAGATATAAACATTTTTTTCTTGTTTGTTTTTTTGTTGCACTGGACATTGAACTCAGGGCATTGTGTATGCTAGACAAGTGCTCTACAAAAGAGCTATTATAATTGTGAATATTTTACTGTGTTTGCTTTATCACATATTCATTTACCTATCAACCCATCTTATTTTTTGGATATATTTCAAGGGGAGTTGATGATTTTAGTATTTTTTTTCCCCTAAATGCTTTGGCATGCACATTACTAAAATCCAATATTTTATTATAACTCTTTTTGAGGTAAAAGTTACATATGTTCAATACTTGTGTATATGCCATTTTGTATCTTGCCTCTTCATTGAGTATACAATAAACATTTCTTCATGTTAAAAACATAGTTTCCATGACCCCTATTTTAAATGGGTAAATTATGTTCCATCAAGGGGATTTATCATGATTCATCTATATATTTCTTCATTGGATATTTATATTGCTCCTTGATTTTCACTATTGTAAATAATGATATGAAGAACATTATTAAATTTAAAGATTATAACCCTATATATTTTGGACTACTTTGTTAGGATAGTGATTTTTACATGCCGATTTTTTCCCCAAATTCCTAAAAAGTAGCTTCTTTAAGATGTTTTAGTCTAGGTATTTATTTCCCTCCTAAAAGCCTCACACCCTTTGTTCCTCTCAGAAACTTAAGAGTTGACTATTAACTTCATGTGTTTTTAGCTACACAAATCAAATACTGTGTCATGTGGAAAGTCATCATTAGACCAACTATGGTATGGGGATACCATTTGAGAGGGATTGGGGAATCATGTGAGGATATGATAATCAGCCCCAGAATAGTAAGTGAAATGACAGCCATGCTAAACAATCTGTTTAAGTGGAAGCTCATTTGAAAAATGTAGAATTGTAGGTGAGAAAAATGGTACTGGAGAAAAGCAAAAATATTGGGTTGGGGTTGTAGTTCAATGTTAGACTGCTTACCTAGCATCCATGAGGTCCTGTATTCAATCCCCAGCACACACAAAAATCATACCATTACTGTGGCATAAATTGTTTTGTTTTTATTTTTGGTTATTCCTCATAGCTACACTGCTACCAATATGTTTATTATAAGATAATAGTATATAGCTTCTATCATATTAATCATAGCACATTGGGAGATTTAAATCAGAGCTATGCCATATTGGTCTTAGTAGTGGAGTGTTTGGCTAGTATGCAGGAGGTCCTACATTGGATCCAGGGCAAAATCAAGACAAAAACAAGCCAGTGACAGTAATTGTAGCACTCTGGGAGGCTGAGGCAGGAGGATCATAAGTTTGAGCCCAGCCAATATAGCTTTATGAGACTCTGTTCCAAAAAAACCAAAAGCAAAAGCAAAAGCAAAAGCAAACAAACAACAACAAAAAAAAAAAAAAAAAAAAAAAAAGAGAAAAGGGGGCTGGGGATATAGCTCAGTGTGAAAGCCCTGGGTTCATTCCCCAGTACCAAAACCAAACAATCCCCCAAATAAAACTGCCAAACAAACAAACAAAAAAAAAGTCAGTTCTACAAAGTAGTATGATTAATTGCAAAATTGTATAACACTTAATGAATATAAGAATCCAAAGAAGAAAGAGGACTGGGAGTATAGTTCAGTGGTACAGCACTTGTCTAGCATTAGGAAACCATGGATTTGCCTCATTACAGGAAAGAAAAAAGAAAGGAAGACAAACATAAACTGTGATGGTTGGTAAAATCTTGTGTAGTCTCACAAACATGTTACTGGTGAGACTGAAATGGATTTTAGTTACTTAAAAATAAAGGGAGGAGGCAGACACTAGAAAATAACAATTTGCAGAAGAAAAGGAGAGAGGTGGATCCCTGGGACCCAGGAAGAACCCAAAGGGAAAATTCAAGCCTACAGAGACATTGAAAAGACAGACCACAATGCAGAAAAAAGGAAGGCCAGGGAGGAACACACCAATGGAAGAAAGCAGTGGATGCTGTGTGCTAACACACCTGGTGAGTGACTCCAGTCCAAGTGATTGCCGTGTCCTCTGGAAAGCATACTTGCTCAGACACCATTTTATGGGGGGGAGGCAACAGAGCCTCAGACTCAGAGCAGCCATGGGTCTTCTTCATCTCAAGGCTCCCAGTGTTACACTACCACAGTGACTGGGTGAGAGACAGTCATGGGAAATGTCCATGGTCAGGGAACCATGGGCAGGACAGTAAGAGACATCCAGAATGTTATAAGATAAACAACCTGGGCCCTAACCCTATGACCAGACATCAGGTTCAGCCTGAACTTCTGTGGGTTAAAGTCCCAGAACCAACACCATGCCCTAATCCTACTGCAAACCTGCTAGGATTATCCAGCATCCTTCCCTAATCCTACTGCCAGTTTGCTGGGATTATCCAGCATGGATTTGGGTTCTGACTGCCTCATTTGTCTACAAGTAAGAATAGATTCACACCTTAAATTGGACAATGCCACACAGCGATAGACTCCAAAAGATAACCACAAGCTTGAAATCACAGAGGAACCTTTTCTTCTTCTCTTTCTCCTCCTCCTTCTCCTTCCTCTTCCTTTTCTTTTTTGCTTTTGGTCTTTTTGTCTGTGTTCATTTTTTTCTTTTCTCTGATTATTTTTGTTTCTTTGTGGGGGTGAATTGTTTGCAGTGCTTTGTCCCTGGTTTTAGTTCATTCTTTCCATCCCTCCTGTCTTCTTCACCAGTTTCTTGAAGCTTAGGTAATCTTCCTTTGTGCTTCAACCTTGCCTCTTATCTCTTTTTTTCTCTTCTCTTTTTTAATTGCTCTATTGGGTGGACATCTATTGTACATAATTTTCTGATTTGTGTTAGATTTTTTTGTATAACTATAAATCTTCTACATATGGTTAAAAGTGGAAAATTATTAGTTATCAGTTTCTCATTTTTCAGTCTGTGTTTGATGCTACTATTATTGCTGATTGTATTACTTTAGATAAGGTTACATAGTTACTGTGATCAAATAATCTTCCTTATATGCCAATACTTAGATTGTCTGGAGGACATAATACTACAGTGTACTGCCAAAGAACTGGGAGCTATGCCAAATAGGCTGCAAACCTCTCATCCCTACTAAACACAAGAGGCAAGAGCCCAGGACAGACTTAAGAGCCAAAAGCCAGCTATCCTTAAAAGACATCTCTGAAAAGTTGTCCTTTTCTAAAGAAGTCTTGATACTAGTAAGAAAGCTACTTACCATAAGTAGTTTACAAACATGAATGCAGAAAATAAATACCCCCCCCCCAAAAAAAAGAAAATAAGAAAGCACAAAAACAAGATGCAACCCCAGACTTCCAGCTTCGCAAGGCAAATCCTGGGAGCACTGAAGTGAAACAAATTAAAAGCCACCCAGCTGAACTTTCTGAAATGGTGACAGCAGAAGTAATAAAGCAGATGAATGCGCCTATAGATAAAACCCAAACAAATAATTACACAGATAACTAAAGAGATGATGACTGTAATGATGCACATGGTGAGTGAATCTAGAGTAGATACAGCTAAGAAAATAGAGAAGCTTAGGAAAGTGATGGAAATCATGAATGCCTAACCCAGGAAACAATTGGATTCCATAAAAAAGTGATTCAAACATATCCAGGAAATTAAAAATTTTATTGAAAGTATAAATAGCAGAGTCAACCAATGTGAATACAGAATGTTGGATCTAGAATACAGGGTGGTGGTTAGCTATCATCAAATGAGAGTTTTTAAAAATAGCAAGGGACCAGGAAAAATCAATCCAGCTGCTAGATATACAAAGAAGACTAATATAATATTAATTGGAATCAATGAAAAAAATCAGAAAATAGTACAAGGGGCATAAAATCTGTTCACAGAAGTAATAGCAGAAAACTTTCCAAGCATAGGAAAAGAGTTTGACATACAAATAAGTGAAGCATATTAGCCATTTAGACATTTTCAGAAAAAAAATACACCAAGGCATATAATATTTAAGATTTCAGAACATTCAACACGAGAAAAGAATATTAAAAGCTGTTAGAGAAAAAAAGAAAGTACCCATGAAAGAAAACCCATCAGAATCGCAGAAGACTGATGAACATAAACACTTAAGTCAAGGAGGGCTTGGAGTGAAGTATTTTAAACCTTAAAAGAAAACAACATCCAACCCAGATTTATGTTAATTCATGGAGAAATAATAAAGAACACCTGAAGAAATTCATGACCACCAAACCAGCACTCCAAAAAAGTTCTAAAGGATATTCTAGGGAAAGATAAATAAAGACAACAATTCCAAGAATCCCAATACAATGAATATACTAGGTAAGGCAAGAAATTAAATAGAAAGGAAAAGGAATCAACAATGAGAAAATAATATGTTGACAAGGACAAATTAATACTTATTAGTTACAACCATCAATGTGAATGCTCTCAATTCACCAGTAAAAAGAAACAGATTAACAGAATGGATTAGACAAAAGATCCAACCTATTATTAACATCATATTTCTTGTTGTGCACAAGAAAGAGATTGAACTCAAAATGAAAGTCATAAACTGAAAGTCAAAGGATGGAAAACAATACTTCATGCAACAGAAACCTGAAAAAATAAGGGTAGCTATTCCATCTGCAGAAAGTTAATTTCAAACCAAATCTCATCAAAAGGGACAAAAAGGGCCACTACATATCGTTAAAGGAACAATCCAAGAGGAAGAGGTAATAATTACAAATACATATGTACCAAAAGCTGGCACACCCAAATATATAAAACAAACACTGATATGAAAAATCAGATAAGCACTAATACAATTGTAATGGGGATCTCAATACTCCATTGTCACAAATGGACAGATCCAGTACAGGCTGTGGTGGAGCTCCGGAGAAGTCTGCGGCAGGATTCCTGCTGACTGTGCTGACAGCTGGGGAGAGGACACTAACAGGTTGTGGGGTCCCAAAGCAATGGGAAGCTGGAGAGAAAAAGCTACAAAGAATGGCTTTCACCCCAGATAGCTCACTTGAGATGTTAGTAAGAATTGCCTCCTCAGTACTCTAGCCGTGATGAGGAGGAGGCCAAGGAGAGAAAACAAAGAGACTGAGAAAAAGCAGCTGCTTTTGCTGCACCACTAAGAGAAACAGATCCCAGGTCTGATTCCTGGGGCTCCAAGAAGAACTCGACAACTGCATTCATCTGCTACCACTGTTAAAAGCCAGGCCACCTCAAGAGGAACTGCCCTAAGAGGCCCCATGGGCCATGCCCTGGATGCAAAGGAGACCACTGGAGATCGGTCTGCCCTCTGAGGTGGAGGCCCCAGAGCTCAGACCCATGCTACCAGTTAGTCCAACAGGAATGAAAGGGCTTGGGGCATGGTCTGCCTTCTCCCTCTGGCCAGACCGTCATCTCCATCGAGGAGCCCTGGGTAATCATGACTATGGAGGAACAAGAAAACAGCCTGTTGCTAGACACAGGTGCAAGTCTCTCAGTCCTTCTTTTCAATCCTGGCCTTCCTTCCAGCCATCATACCTCAGTGAAAGGAGTCACTGGTGAGGAGGTAATATGCTATTTTTGACAACCCTTAGGCTGTAACTACTTAATAGGTCCCTCTTGCATATCTCTGTCTTCCTGAGAAACCACTCTGAAGATACCACCACGTATTACAGCAGCCATTGATATTTTCCTACTAATCTGTCCATAACTGTGTAAAGTTTGTAATGTTCCTATCCTATTTCATAAATGGATTTATGTTTATTATTATGTGTTTCCTACAACAACCATTGAGAATAGTTAATGATTTTTCAATAGGTCACTCATGTATAGCTCTATTTATTTTCTTTAGAAGCCACTTTGAAGATACCAAAGTATAGTACAACAACTCTTGATAATCTCCTACCTCTTTTGTCTGTAACTCACTATTATTTGTCTATTTGTTTTCCTGAGAAACTATTTTGTAGACAATAATATGTAAAATGATAACCATTGATAATTTCCTACCATTTTGTCTGTAATTTGCTAAGTCCCCCCTATTATTATGTTATCCTTCTGTTATTCTTTAAAATAAAAAAAAGAGAAAAACAAATGGACAGATCAACTAGTCAAAAACTGAACAAAGAAAAATCAGAGCTGAATCAAACCTTTGAACAAGTAGACTTAGTAGATGTCTAGAATATTCTACACTACCACAATAAAGTACACATTCTTCTCAGCTGCACCCAGAACTTTCTCGAAAATAGACCAAATACTAGTTCATAGAACATGCTTAAGTAAATGCAAAGGAATTAACATCTCATGTATATTATTAGGTCATGTTGGATTACTCATCCATCCCTGTCCACGGTGAACAGGTCCCCAGAACGAGGTGCCCGTGGATGTATTGATTCCCTCGTCCAAAGAACAACTCCAGAGCCATATGTCTGGGCTCAGGGGGCTAGTCATCTTCCAGACTCAAGCCCCTATGGCCATCTCCAGTAATCTTTTATTCAGTGAGAACAAAGGAGGCAGCCCTGGAATTCGGAATTCAGACAATCTCAACTATTTTTGCAAGGCCAGTACAACTCCATTATCATAGCAATGAGACTTGACCAGTAAGCCATCATGTTATCTTCCTTAGGGCATATCTCAGAAAAGCATCTAGTGTTGTACCCGGGGCCAACAATGCTTTTGCTAGACTTCCTCCAGAACCCAACAACCATGGCTTGGGCAGGCCTGTGGCAATACATCTAGAGAATGTCCTTCTCCACAAGATCATAGTGAAATGAAATTGAAAGTCAATGGCAAAAAAAGCCACAAAAAAGCATAAACATATGGAAATTAAATAACCCCCCCACCAACCAATGAGTCACCAATGAAATTAAAGAAGAAATTAGACAGTTTCTACAATTAAAAGATAATCCCTGTACAACATACTGTAACTTATGAATTGCAATGAAAGCAGTCCTTTGAGGGAAATTTATAGTAGTGAATTCCTATATTATAAAAGCAGAGCAAGTTTAAATGAATAACCTAATATTGAACCATAAACTTTTAGAGAAAGCAGAGCAAGTGAAAACCAAAGTGCATATGAGGGAGGACATTATAAAGATTAGAGCAGAAATTAATGCAATTGAGACTAAGAAAAAAACCACAATCAATTAACTGAAGAGTTGGTTCTTTGAAAGATTAAGTAAAATAGACAAACCCTTAACCAACTTTAGAAAAAAAAGACCCAAACCTATGCAATTAGGAATGAAAAAGGTGAAATCAGAAGAGATCCTGCAGAAATCCAGATCATAAGTACCTACTTTGAGAACTCTAATAAGATAGAAAATGCAGAAATGGATAAATTCGTAGATACATGTCCATTATCAAAGCTGAATCAAGAACATATAACAATTCTAAATAACCTTATATCAGTCAATAATGTTGGAGAAGTACTTAAAAAGTTACCAACAAAGAACAGTCCAGGTCCTGATGGATTCACTGCTGAATTCTACAAAAAATTTAGAGATTTAATGCCACAACCTCAAACTCATTAATGAAATTGAAAGGGAAGCAATATTCCCAAAGTCATTCTCAGAAGCAAGCATTATCCTGATACTCAACCCACAGAAGGATCCAACTGAAAAAAAGAACTACAGCCAATTTCCCTAATGAACATAGATGCAAAAATTCTGAAGAGGATACTGGCAGACAGAATGCAGCAAATCATCAAGAAGATTATACACCATGACCAAGTAAGATTCATCACAGGGATGCAGGGATGGTTCAACATATGCAAATCAATAAATAAATGTAATGCAGCGTATTAACAGAACCACGGACAAAAACCACACGAGCATCTCATTAGATGCTGAAAAAGCATCTGACAAAGTCCTGCACTCATTCCTAATAAAAACCTACAGAAAATTGAAATAGTCTTCTCCTCAGTCTGACAAAAGCCATCTATGACAAACCAACAGCTAACAACGTATTAAATAGACAAAAACTGAAAGCTTTCACTCTAAAATCAGGAACAGACAAGCATGCTCACTGTCACCGTTTCTACTCACTATTGTTCTAGAAACATTAGTCAGAACAATTAGACAAGAGAAAGAAATAAGTGAATATGGATTGGAAGGGAAGAAGTTAAATTCTCATTACTTGCTGGTGTCATGACACTCTGCATGGAAAACCCCCCAGACTCCATCAAAAGATACCTAGATTTAATATCCAAATTTGGTAGCATAGCAGGACATAAACTTAGCACTCAAAAATCAATAGAATTCTTGTACACAATAATAAACTCACTGAGAGACAAATTAAGGTGATAATATCTTTTACAACAGAATGAAGAAAAATGAAATATTTAGGAATCAATCTAACAAAAGGAAGTGAAAGACCTACACATTGAGGTCTATAGTACTCTGAGAAAGGAGATTGAAGAGGATATCAGAAAATCAAATGGTTTCCCTTTTTCCTGCACAGGTGAAACCAATATAGTGAAAATGGACATACTTCTAAATTTTTTATCCACATTTAATGCATTCTCAATCAAAATACCAGTAGCATACCTCACAGAATCAGAGAAAACAATACTTAAGTATATATGAAATCAGAAGAGACTCAGAATACCAAAAACACTGCTAAGCAACAAGAGTAAGGCAGTAGGCATCACAATCCCCAATTTGAAGTTATAGTACAAAGCTACTGTGATAAAAACAGCATGGTACTGGGAAAAAAAAAAGACCCAACAATCAATGTAACAGAACAGAAGATGCAGAAACAACTTGAACCATACTCAGCTACCTTATCTTTGACAAAGTGGCCAAACACCTTCACTGAAAGAAAGATAGCCTCTTTAATAAATAGCTATGGGAAAAGTGGTCTTCTACATGCTGAAGATTAAACCTACACCCATATGTCTCACCATGCACTAAATGAAAATTGAAGTGGATCGAAGACTCAATATTAAAACAGAAACATTAAATCTGCTGGAAGATACAATAAGTGAAACTCTCAAAGACATAGTTGTAGGCAAAGGCTTTATGAATAAACCCTTGATGGCACAGAAAACATTACAAAGAAAAAACAATTAGGATCACATCTGATTGAAAAGCTTTTGCACAGCAAAAGACACCACAAACAGAGTGAAGAGAGAACCTAGATAATGGGAAAAACTTTTACCAGGTACTTCTTACACAAAGGATTAATATCTGGAATATATAAAGAACTAAAAAAATCAGACCCTCTGAAGTTAGAGACCCAATCCAAAAGTGGGTATCTGAGATGAATAGATACTTGTCAGATGAAGAAGTACAAATAGCAAATAAATATATAAAAATTTTTCAACATCATTAGTCCTTTGAGAAATACCAATTAAAACAACACTGAGATTCTATCTCCAGAAAGAATAGCTATCATCAAGTCATCAAGAAATCAACCAGTAACAAATGCTGGTGAGGCTGTCAGGAAAAAGGAGCACTCCTCTACTATTAATGAGAGAGTAAACTGGTACAGTCTCTATGGAGGTCAGTATGTGGATTCTTCCAGAAACTAAAACTAGAGGTTCCATTTCACCAGCTAGTCCTTTTCTAGGTATCTTCTTGAAAGACTCAAAACATTATATCACGGTGATATATGCATACCCATGTTTATAGCAGCACAATTTACAATAGCTGAATCTTGGGTATAGCCCATCAAATATGCCCATCAAAAGATGAATGCATAAAGAAAATATAGTATTTATGCACAATGGAGTACTATTATACCACAAAGAGGGATAACTATGAGTCATTTTTAGGTAAATGGACATGCCTAGATACCATAATTTAAGTGAAAAAAAAAATAAGACAGACAAGTTTAAATATTGCATTCATTTTCTTGTATGAGAAACTCTAAGGATAAATAATGAACAGAATGGAGGATAGATATTGGGAAGTAGACGAATATGTTCAGATAGGAAGGGGATGGGGGAAGGGAGGGAAAAGTTGTCAAAAAAAGAATGGACGAGGGGGCTGGGGATTAAGCTCAGCAGCACAGCGCCTGCCTGGCAAGCGCAAGGTCGTGAGTTCGATTCCTGGTAAAGGAAAAAAACCAAAAACCAAAAAAACCCAAACAAACAAAAAAAGAATGGAAGAAAAAATGGAAATAAATGTAAATTGGGAAGGGAAGAGGCATCGAGGGGATGGGTGGAGAAAGGGAAACAAGAGAATTAAGATGTATTATCTTCAGGGAGCTGGGGATTTAGCTGGGGCTGGGGATTTAGCTCAGCGGCACAGTGCCTGCCTGGCAAGCGCAAGGTTGCGAGTTCGATTCCTGGTACTGGAAGAAAAACAAAGAAAAACAAAAAAACTCCCAAAAAACCCAAAACAAGATGTATTATGTTCAGGTAGAAATTCTCTATGATGAATGCATGGCAAATATGTAGTAATAAAAATGATAACAAAAACAAAAGGAGAGCCGGGTGTGGTGGTGCACGCCTGTAATCCCAGTACTCAAGAGGCTGAGGCGGGAGGATCCTTGTGAGTTTGAGTTCGAGGCCAGCCTGGGCTACAGAGTGAGCTCAAGGCCAGCCTGAACTGCATAGTTAGACTCTGTCTCAAACAAACAAACAAACAAATGAAAAAACCAAAGAGATACGCATCAGGTGAAGCTAGCAGTATAAATAAGGATAATATACTTAAGGATGAAGAAATCGTGTTCAGCAGACACTGAGGTAATTGTTTTTAACTGTGGGTAAACTTTTTGGAAAATTGGTAGAATGTGATTAGATTATGGCGGACCTGGAAATGATCCACAGTAGCTACATAAGCGTAAAAGAGAAAGGGAATATCATTGAAGGTGGACAGTGTCTTGACTGATTAAAGAGATGTTTCTGTTTGTTTAGATTGAAATAGCAGTAATCCTGTGGAACTGGGGAGTTGCCGAGAGAGTAGTTTCCGTTTTAAGTGAGGAACAGCCTGCTAAATGTACATATACATTTTGTGACTCATTATGAGGAGTTTTAATAATGTTTTGATCAGTTCTTACAGATTTGTTAAACCAAACCAAACAATGCATAAGCATTTGTTTCTCAAGCAAACAGCTTCCCCTGGTTTTATGATTTTTCAGTGGTTATTCTAGAGGTGAACAGCAAAGGTGATGAAATGATGGGAAAATGAGAACTACGGAAAATGTTTAAGGATATGGATCATTTCCTATGGAAAAGAAATGATGAGAATCTTGAGGATTCTGAAAGAACTTCTAATGGTCATTTCCCTTCTTTGCTAATAACAGAATGAAAACCAGTGCCTTTGGGGGATTTAGATTGTAAAAAGTGTGAAGAGTAGTTTCTTCCTAAGGTAGCTTGGTAAATGTTGGCATGAATCACCAAGAAAATCCAGAAGTTCCTTCTACCTGAAAGAGCAAAAATCAAGACTAAAAACAACAAAATAAAAACTAATCTCTTCTTTTTGGATGCTTTGAATGTGATCTGCTGTCTGTTAAAGTTCTAGTTCTTCTTCTAGATCAAGGTCTAATGTGCAAACAGTTCCTGTTTTTCAAGGATAGTGACAGCAAATGCACTTATAAATGCGGATTGCCCAAGTATAGAGCATACACTGAGGTCAAAAATCAAAGGGTAAATCTCTTGACTGCTTGGCTTTGTAAAGACAGATGACTTTTGTGTGTATGTAACAAATACAATTTACTAAACCAGGCATGATGTCACACCCCTATAATCTCAGCACTCTGGGAAGCTGAGGTAGGAGGAGAGCAAGTTTGCTCTCAGCCTGGGCAACTTGGCGATTTAGCAAGCCCTTACCTTGAAACATCAAAAAGGGCTGGGTTGTAGCTCAGTGTGAAGTCCTGGGTTCAAACCCTAGTACTGCCAAAAAATTTATTAGTAAATATCTTTGTGAATATAGACAAAACTATGCACAACTGCAGTGTAGATACAGGGTAATTGCTGATTAATATAATCATCTGATTATCACTTACTCATGAGTTTATCCCTCCTTTAGTATGGTTAGAAAACAGTTCTCTCTAGCTCTAAGTGCTGGTATCAGTGTTCCCAGGAGCTTAGATCCTGTAGTTAAGAGGAAGGGTTAAGGTTTATTTGTTGCTGAAATAGTACACAAGTGAATTGTGTGATACTAGAATGCATTAATTCTTTAATATTGAGGCTGTGGTAGATGAAATAAGTATTGCAGCCTTAGCATCTCTCCCAGTTTACTCTCTCACTATGTGTATCAGTTCTTGATCAGATATTTGGGTATTTGTTATGTTTATGGTATTTGGTTGATACAGTGGAGAACAGGATATAGTGCAGAAAGCCTGCAGTTTAAGAGCTTTACTCAAAAATACATTGTGGGCCAGAGATATAGCTCAGTGGCATAAGTGCTTGCCGGCAAGCCTGAGGTCATGAGTTTGATTCCCGGTACCAAAAAAAAAAAAAAAAAAATGTATTGATTAGAAAATATTTTGTCTCCCTAAAAACAAACTGCGTGTGCCTGAATTATGTCATGTGATGAAAAAGTCATCAAAATTTATAAACTATATTTTTTTATTATGTGGAAGACTTGTAAAATGATGAACAGAAATAGGAAAGCCTGAAGTAGAAGATGACTTGTAAATTTTAGCTTTAGACCTGTTGCATTTAAAGTGACAATGAGGTTGAGGATGTGAGAGTGGAGCTTATGAGAAAAATCTGGGCTAGGTTTATAGATTTCGCAGGTGTTCTTGTGGAGGTGATAGTTGAGGCTACAGGAGTAGCTGAGTTTGCTGTAGGGGAAATAAATAGCAGTGGTTCTTAAGTAATGCTGTAACTCAGAATCATTTGCAAAACCTGTTAAAGTACAGATTCTCAGGCCTTGTCATTGGTGGTTTTCATTTGTTTGGGTTCAGGATGAAATATGTGTATAATGTGAAAAAAAGTTTTCAAACATTCCCATGCACACCAAATTTTAAGAACCCTTGGTATGTAAAAAAAGAGTATGATATTTTTAACCTCACATCTTCCAGTTAAGGACTGGGGGGAAAAAACCAAAAAAGAAGAATAGGAGACCAAAAGAAACAGTTATAAACAATTCTAAAGAAGTCTCCTTTCCTATTTATTGAGTGCAGACCCGGTAAGTGTTGTCATACCATGTTATGGCAGGGAACTGGTAAAAGGGACAAGGGAAGACACCAGAAGAAAGATCCCAGGCATACATTGTGCTCGAGGGTCTGGGAAGGAATGGGTTAAAGCTAAATAAACAATAAAAATAAAATGTCTGTGTCTTGGTTACTTTTCTCTCATTGCTGGGACAAAATACCTGACGCCCAAAATTAAGGAAGGAAAGGTTTATTTCACTTACAGATTGTGGAGTTTTCAGTCCATACTTGGCAGGTCAGAAGGCAGAGTGGCACATGGCAGAGAGCTCCAGCTCAGGGTGACAGAACACAGCAAAAGCCACAAGCACACACAAGGGAGGAAATGGCCAGAAGCACCCTCTTCCTCTGCCTTACATATGCAAACTATCTACCCCAGGGCAGGTGTAGCTCTCACACCCATAATCAATCAAACTCTAAAAGCCTGCCCCATGGCTGCATGAGGCTTTGGGGGGACACCCAGACACAAACCATAACAGTCTGTAAATTCCAAAGCATACAACACCACCTTATTTTTCTAAAGTCAATTCAAACATCAGACTGTGGACATGTAGAACAGAATAAGGCAGATGTTCAAAGGAGTTAGTCAGCAAGCTCCTAACCAAGATGTGTATAATACAGCCAGGTCAAGAATATGTTGGTGAAAAAACAAGCATAGAGCAACAGTAAGAAGGAAAACATATTTATGCTAAAGTAGCCTCAATTACCTTTGGCTTGAAGGCATATTGATAATAAGTATCAATAGCTGAATTATGAATGTGACCAAAGGTCTTAGTCTAAAACATTTCCTACACAATGACACTGCTCAATATTGAGCCAGGATATTTCAGGACAAGGGAGTAGTATATGTTAAAAAGATTACGTTCATTGTGAAATCTTACTGTGAGGTTAGGGATGGTGATCTTTTGGTGTGCAGTTTTAGTACAGTGGTTAAGAATGCAAACGAGATCCCAGAGGTTTAAGGAGATGAGTGGGCAGCAGGAAAGAAGTAGTGGCTAGACTATTCAATTCAAGAAGTTTAGCAGTAACAGGAGGAGAAGCGAGATGAAAGCTTGAGATGCAGTGGGTTAGTTGATTTCTTTTTCAAGGTGGGAAGAGAAGATGGGTAAGTTTGAGGCTGGGAGGAAATAGAGTGAGGTACTGAATATACCTTTAGATAGGGGAGGTAATTGAGACAGTCGGGACTGTGAGAATACTGGAAACTAGTAAATTTTGACAAAATGAAAGTATTTAAAAATTGTTTCTAAACTGAAAATTTGGGCAGTGTAAATATCTGATTAGAAATTGCTTTACCAAAGTTTTTTTTTTTTAAGAAAACCTAACTTTATTAAGAGATAAATAGATTTTACATTTCATGATGGACAACAAAAATCTACTCGCTTGAATTACCCTGTAATTTCAGTGGGGCAAATCTCTCTTACTATGGAATATTTCTTAGAAATGGTGTTAGCATAGGTGGAGTGGCTGCTGAGATCTAACATAAAGGTGACTAGTTCAGTTATATGCGAAGCCAATTTTTAAAAACTTTGATATGTTTTATGATAAAACAAACTACAGAAATAAAGAGATTGCAATTATGCAGACTTTCCTGATTTTAGGGAAAATGAACTATATCATGAATGCATCTGTATTTTCTAAATTATACTTCAATAACTTATGTCTTCTAAGAAAAGATATATTTAGAAATTTTCACATTTTATTTATTTATTTTATTTTATTTTATTTTTTGTCTTTTTGAGACAGGGTCTCACTATGCAGTTCAGGCTGGTGTTGAGCTCACTTCATAGCCCAGGCTAGCCTTGAATTCACAACGATCCTCCTGCCTCAGCCTCCAGAGTGCTGGGATTATAGGTGTGTGTCACCACTCCCAGCCTGGCAATTTCACATTTTAGAAGAAAAATCTAAAAGTATCTTGGTGTCCAGAGATTTTGTCAGATATTGATAGTTCAAGGTTCCATTTCTACTTGGAATTATTCTTTTGTCAGCATGGTACGTACAAAAGCATCACATGGAAATCAGTTACCTTCACTTGATCTTTGGGATTTAACATCTACAGAAATTAAAGTTTGATAATTACACATCTCTCTAACTGAAGTATTAAGCAAATGATTGATTTGATAAGTTTCAGATCATTTACTTTCAGCAACTGACTATTTTAAAAAGACTTTAAAATTCTTACTTTAAGGCTGAGTGTGCAGCTCAGTGGTAGAGCAGTTACATATTATCCATGATACCGTGCTCCTACCCAGCACCGCAAAAGCAAACAAACAAACAAACTTTGTTTAAACAACAAAATTGGCTTTAATTCAATCCTTTTAATCTTTATATATGTATATATATATATATATATATATATATATATTGAGAATGTTTGGTGTTAATAGTTACCTAATTATTGTTTTGCAGTGCATTATGTTGCTTGTAAGTTGGTGTGTATGTGTTTAACCTCCATTGCTTTAGAAGAAGTTATTTGGAGACAGATTTTGGTAAGCCCCAATTGAGGAGAAAGTGAGGTGAAATGAGATGTTACTACTGTGAAAATGGATGAAGTTAGTATAAAACTGGGAGAGATTATTTCCTTTAGTACTATCCTTGTTCCTTTTATCATTAATATATCTATTACAGTTAAAGATGTCAGCAGTACTCTGGTTATTATTATGTGGTCAAGTGAACTAAATGTTGAACATGTAATTCTGGATTTATGGATTACTTTTTACTTTTATCACCTCTGACTTGATAGGGTAACAGTTTTTCCACCTAAGGGAAATGGTATTATTTAGTCTTGGAAGAAT